TTTTTATAACTCACGTAGATTGTTAACCCGTGATATACCGCGAGATAATTTATTTTTAAAGTTAGTATAAAAACATCTTGTATGTATCTCTTTATAAAATATTTATTTATATTATAATTTTTTTTTGACAGCATTTATATTATAATTTACAATTGTTATTAAGTAAAGATATACCACGAGTTCACGAGACAATTATTAATAAACTGAGGATTTAACTCGTATTAAAACGGCATGTTAATGATATTTAGAAATATTGATTCAAATTCGTCCGCCATATAAATACGTTCCGAAATATAACTCGTTCCGTAATTTCTTAACCCGTCCCGTGATTTGTTTTTATTATAAAATTTAATGATTATTTATTATATATAAAAGTTTACAAATCATATCATTATCTATGTCATTTATATTTTAATAAACCGAAGATTTAATTTATATTAAAGCGGAATGTTAATGATATTTTAAAATTATAAAAATATTGATTCAAACTCGTCCACCATCGTTTCGAAATATAACCTCTCCTGTAACTTCTTAACCCATCCCATGATTTGTTTTCTAAAAGTAGTAATTTTTAAAATTTAACGATTATTTATTATATATAAAATTTTGCAAATTGTATCATTTTCTAAGATATTTATATTTTATAGTTTACAATTGTTATTAAGTAACATTATACTACTGAACAATTTTTAGTTTTATACAATCTTTTCTAAATGAGATTCATTTAATATGTCTAATATTAGTGGTATTAAAAAAAATGAAGGATTTAATCCGTATTGAAACAGCGGATAATGATATTTTAAATTTTTATTATTGTTGATTCAAAAACCCGTTCCGCCAAACCCGTCCGGCCAGAAAAACTCATTTGTTTTATTAATGTTGATCTTTATTTTGATATGATTATGAATTGCCTAAATATTTTAATCGATGTAGAACGTTGAACACACATTTTCTTCAATTGGATAATGTATGTCCGTTTTCTAAATTTCGAATCACAGTATATGGAGAAGAAAAAAATGATTTTTTTTTTACTTTATGTATTATATGATGATTCAAAACAGTTAAAAACAAATCAAACAAAGATGATAGAAGAATAATAATTATAAATCTTAATCAAATCTTTTAAATATCTAAATTATTAAATATGGAATATCCAGTGTATGCGTTGGGTTAAATATAACCCGACCGAACAAACTTTTTATGACCAAAATTTGTAAACGGATCGGGTATCCAAAGTACCCGAGAACAATTTTACCCACCCGACTCAAATTAACTGCAAAAATATTAGTATAGATTTTCAAATACAATTTATGAAGAGTGGTATAAATAAAATTGTGAATATATCTGCAATAACTCATTTCAAAAAAAGCTAAGAGCACTTAGGTTATCCGATTTGTATATGCGACTCTATATATTAATGCAATTTTATGTGTGAAAAACATTAGTGTGGTGTGCACATTATGAACAATGATTAATCATATATTGGAACATCCTAAAATGTCATTGTCCCTAAGAAGAAGGGAGCTTCTTAATATCATCTCCTAGGACTCTAGCTTCTTGAAATCATCACGCTGGAACCTAAAACTTATTAATAATGCACCAATTAATATGATTGTAAAATCTAAAATGAATAATATCCAAAGACATGCAAAATAAGAGAAAGGCAAAGGAAGTCTACCACCTCCTAAGGTAGACAGCGCTAGTTTAGCTTTCTTGGCAGCTGCAAGTAATCATTATGCATCAGTTAGTGGCTTTGATAATTAAACTATTTCTCTTTGTGATTCTACTTCCATTTAGGTAAATTATCCAAAACACATCAAAAGAATCAACATGAGACCTTACCTATTTTTGCGTAAAACCTATTAAGATATTCATGAACACAATCAATCGGAATTGCGAATCCAAATCCTTGTTGAGCGATATATTGTCCAAAGTAAGGTTTTCCATATGAACGAAATTGCAATCCAATAATCTGACCAGCAAGATTAACAATTAGTTCTTCTGAAGAACCTTGAAACACAAAAATAAAAATATAAATAAATTAAATTTTTTAATTATTAATGAAACCAACATTGATATGTAGTTACCGAATTTGAGGTACAGTCGGTTTGGAAGCAAATCAGATTGTTGCCACTATGAACAGTCTCTTTAATTTATTCGTGCGCACAATAGAACTGTTTTGCAAAAAAAAAAAAAAAATCAAACTTAGAATAATAATAATCAAATTACTTCAATAATTAACTAAATTAATTCAACCTTAAAATCCCAACACTGACAGTTCTATTGAAACAAAGCGGAGAGCCAAAGGCGAGGGTCCAATGTCCGGGACGAATATTTCTAGAACACCCGAGCTTAAGGGGTTGATATGTATTAGTCTCCTCGAGTTCTACCTTGACTATTGCAATATCCAAATTTACGTTGAACTTCCTCACTCTACCATAGCAAGTAATTTCGACCTATATTAAAAATTATGAGTAAATCAATATATATAAATATTGACCTATACATCATCCAACAAATCTCGCTTACCTCTGTTCTTTCTGATTCTTTGGATTTACGAATGGGTACATGAGTACATCACGATTCAAAACAACATGGTAGCAGGTTAGGATTAAGTCCTTATCAATCAACAGCTCTGATCCGTTTGACACATCTTTAAAACCAAGAAGACCTGTGGAACCACATCAGAAGAGTCAACATGAAATTTTATAAACCAAGAGAGATCAAATATTCAAATAGAATTTGTTTTCTCTACCTAAATTTTTAATAACTCATTTTCAAATACAATTTCTGAAAATGGTATAAATGAAATCGTGAATATGTCTGCAATAACTCATTTCAAGAAGATTTGTATATGCGACTCTACATTAATATGCATTTTTATGTGTGAAAACATTAGTGTGGTGTGCATATTATGCACAATGATTAATCATATAGTGGAGCATCGTGAAATGTCATTAAGCTTTTTCCTTACTAATTTGCTCGGAATGGGTAATAATATTGACTAGTTTTTTTCAACACCAGAAACTAAAATCTTTTTTTAAAAAACAAGTTTCCAGGATGAACACTGTCCGTTCCAGTTGTCATCTTGTTCCTCTTCAAAATTGTTAACGAACTTGATTGGGCTTAGCCATTTTAAAGCCCAACATTAGCTTTACTTATGCATGCACCTAGAAAAATAGTATCGGTCCACCTGTTTATCGTACCGTTCCAGCTGTCCTGTACGAACACAAGTTTTGCAGCTGATGGATGATAACTTGATAAGTTTGGTGGAAGTATGTCTTAGACTTAATGAATAAAGCACAGTTTTCAGAATTTGCTCTTTAATTCTGAATTGTTGTATCTTTTCTCTTGAACTCAAATCCTTGTATCTTCCTCTGCTTGGTGTGTCTATCTTTTTGAAACTCTTCAATCCATATGATAATGCTTCAAATTATAACATTTCAGACGATCCCTAACAAACAGCTGAGAAATCTCAATTCCCCAATTAACAAACCCTAAGCGATTAAGATGCAGTCTCACATTGGGCTTTGTATTTAAAGCTTCGATTATCAAAAAGAAAGAATTAAAAATCACATCTTTTCTTCTCTTCTTCTTCTTCCTTGTCCATTTCTCTTCTCAAGTTCTCAACTCTGTTCTTCTACTTGTCACCTCTTTTCTATTCTTATTGATAAACCCAAATCCGGAGTCTATCAGAAGCACAATCCAATCAACGATTGGCCGAATTTTCTCCTCTTACTCGGTATCTTTAGTGTCCCGATTTGGTGAAGGTAATTCGTTCTGTGTAGATTTTGGTGATTGGGTCTGATCCAATTGTTACGAGCTTCATAGCATGTAACAATTTTAGTAAAAAGTGGTGATTTTTGTCAACTTTCTATCCCTATGTTATCACTTGAGAACATGGTGTTTCTGCAAATACATTGATTACTTTAACTAGATCAATTGAAATTCTGCTTCATGTTGTTTCTGGAAATTTGTTCTCTTGTTAGTTTCTTACTTAGAACTTGGGAAATTCTGTAATCCTATCTTGTTATGGCTCTTGTCTCAGGACACTCTTTCCTACATAGGAATTCAGTTAAGGTGAAAATGGAGGACATTGAGAACATGGAAGAAGATGAGTATGGCTTCTCAAGAAACTACTTTTTGGCTAAAGAATTGGGTGGGGCGAGTAAGCGGTCAGCTCACAAGCTCTCTGATATTCATATTGTTGATGAGCAGGTCCTTTTTGGATATTTTTTCTCTTCCTAATTATGCTTTTGGTGATAAATGCTTTTTCTGGACAAGTTGATGGAGAAACATTGTGTTTTCAGGAGCTTAGAGAAACAGCAATTGAAATGAAGCACGCCAAAGAGATATCTGAGCTTATGAGTGATTACAAGACTATGTACTCAAAGTGGGTCTTTGAGCTCAGGTGAGAATAGCTCTTGCTTTTGACAAGCATATGCTCCGTTTTTTCCTAGATACATTGATCTTAGAAGTTAGAATCTGAATTTCAACCATGGTAGAAACTATTTAGAGCAACATAACATGGTTTATCTATACTTATTGAGCGTGGACCTTCTCCTGTATCTCTATTCTAGAAGTTAGATATCTATGTTTCCATCTGAGTCATCATCATATTTTTTTGTGTTCTCATTTCATGTTTCTGCTTCCAGGTGTGGCTTTGGCCTTCTAATGTATGGCTTTGGATCTAAGAAAGCTTTAATTGAAGATTTTGCTTCTGCTTCTTTGGACTGAGTATTCGGTTATTGGCATCAATGGCTACCTCCCTTCCGTAAATCTAAAGGCAGGGTACTCTTTTGGCAGTTTGGGATGCAGCAATTCTTTCTCTTGCGCAGCTCTATGGTTCTTTCAGGGTTGGAAAAAGACTTATTTTTGTATGTAATAACGAAAATGGTCTTTGGGTATATTGCAAAATTCAGGGTTCTTTTAGCTTTAGCTGAACTTCTGTCTGAGCTTTTGAAATGGAAAAAAAAGAGTTCCGGGGAGTTTGTC